GGTTGACTAAGCAATGAATTCAACAAGAGATTAAGGATACATTAGTGTTACGTTTGGTGAAATCTGACCCCCACAACCTCACAATACCACAATACCATTCCTTACCTTTTCCACTCACAAAACAATATTTATTTACAGCTTTCATTCCAATAGTCACAACTTTGAATTCACTGCACAAACTATGAAATTGGAATTATTCTTTAGTCACGAATAGTCAATAAATGCTTATATTACCTTCTAATCCCTGTGGATACGATATTTTTACTACTTGAACGGCCGGTATACTTGCCGTGTTTGAGACCGTTGATAGAATTAAACGAATTTACAAATATTAACAAAAGTGTTTCAACGGAAATCTCAACAATGCTACATCGGGTGTGAGAGAGCTTTAGAGCTCTTGGGTTGGGTTCAACTTGGGCACGAATTACTTGCGTCTGGTGTGAAGGTGTTTGGTCCTATGACTAAGAAAATGTTGAATATTATGATATGATGAGAAGATATAGTTGTGTATTATGTAGAAATGTAGTATGTATGATTTGAATGAGTTGCTTTGTTGCTAAGACATGTTGTTAAACACTGCTAAGAAGTTGTGTTGTTGAGTTGTGTTGTTAAAATTATGAGTTGACCATATTGTTTTAAGTTGAAAATTGATTGAGAAGATAAGTTGAAAAATGTGTGTTGTTTAGTTGTTGAGCTGAACTGTGCCGTTGAGTTGAAAGATGACTAAACTGTGATAATGATTTGTTGATCACTAGGACTAGAGGAGATGTTTTTGAAGTTGCTCATCCCATTGTATGGATTGAGATAGTTATGGTGCTCTGAGAGCCCAATTTGTTGAAAACCCTCCTTAGGAAGTTGTCCCTTGGAGTGGACGTTTTGTTGTTCTCCTCTAGGACTTAGTTGATCCCGTATGTTGGCAAGGTCGGGGCACACATGTACAAAGTGACCACGGTGTAGGAGCCAGGTCAAGCTATACATATTACAAGTGGCCAAATTTGAGTAAAGTACGAAGTCGAGAACTTAGTTCCTAATCGAGTATCGGAGGGTTGTAGTATTTGGAGGATAGTCGGTAGGCTAATCCCATAGGTGGCTTAGTTGAGCTAACTAATGACGTGGTAGGCCTAAACCTAGCTATTCTATCCTAACATAGTACTATATTTCCTTGTTAAAGTAGCAAAGTCTAAGAAACTGTTATCGTGTTGTGGATTGATATCCAAATTTGTTGTTTACCTAGCAAGCCCAAAAAGAATTTTTGTTGTCAATTCGGTAGGGCCTAGCTACTTAGACTGCTCACCCTTGTCGTAGGAGATCTCCGAGTTGAAATGCGTGACGACGCATAAGTTGTTGATGTGTTGATTTTGTGTTAATTTATTTGCATATCTGTTGTGATGTGGTGAAGCTGTGATTAAGTTGGGTGTTGTTATATGTTGAACGTTGAACCGTTGAAAATGTTGTTCCTCTTGTTGAAGTTGTAAGTTATTTTATACCTATATATTGATTATTTCACTAGCTTACCCTTGTATATTTCCATGTGGTTTGGATTGCGGTGATCATACTATGTATGAGAGTAGAGTAGGGATAAGCTGGAGAGTAGCAGTAGTATCACAGGTGATGATTGGAGATGATTTTTGTGTAGGCTACCTTGGTGTGGCATTTTGTCAATATTAGATATACTTTGACTTGTGAGCCTCAAACTGTATATATGTATGTATATATATATATATATATATATATATATATATATATATATATATGCATATTCTTTTATGTATGTATATTCTACTCATGTGTGGTGATGTTCTGCAGTATAACAGTCAGGCGGGTCGTTACAATATGAACCAACCTGAAGGGTATGTTTTTATAGGAAAGGAAAATATGGTGTGTAAATTAAATAAGTCAATATATGAACTAAAATATGCTTCTAGACAGTGATATCTTAAATTTAATAATACCATTACATTGTATGGGTTTGTAAAGAAAACTGTTCATCCGTGTATCTATATGAAGGTCAGTGGGAGCAAGTTTGTAATGTTAGTCTTATATGTTGATATGTTGTTATGTTACATGATGCAAAGAAATATCTCTCTAATATTCGAAATCAAAGATATGGGTGAGACATCTTATGTGATAAAAATAGAAATATTTTGTGATAGATCACAAAGAGTGTTGGGATTGTCTCAAAAAGAATAAATCAATAAGGTGTTAAAGAGATTTAGAATGGAAAAGTGTTATGTAGGAATTGTTCCAATTTAGAAAAGAGATAAGTTTAGCCAAATGTAATGACCTAGAAATGACTAGGAACGAAAGAATTATTCCTTATGCATCAATTGTTGGGAGCTTGATGTATGCCAAACATGTACTCAATCGGATATTAGCTTTGTCATTAGAAGGTTGGGACAATATCAAAGTAGTCTTGGAATAAAGAAAGTTCTTAGGTATTAACAAGACATAAAGGATCACATGCTCACATATATGAGGTCAAATCATCTTGAAGTGATTGACTATTCAAATTTAAACAATGTTGAATGTGTGGACTCAAGGAAGTCTATATCTAGGTACATCTTTCTTTTAGCTAGAGGAACGGTGTCATGGAAAAGTGCAAAACAATCCATGACTGCCACTTCTACCATAGAGGCTAAGTTTGTGGCATGCTTTGAGGCCATAATTCAAGCATTATGGTTGTAGAATTTTACTTCAGGATTTGGTATTATTAGTAATATAGCCAGACTGTTGAGGATTTATCGTGATAACTCTACAATTGTCTTCTTCTCTTAAAATGAAAAATACTTTGAAGGAGTAAAAACATGTTGATTTAAAGTTTTTGTTAGTTACAGAATAAGTGCAGAAACATAAAGTGTTTATTAAACATATTGATACAAAATTAATGATAATGGATCTATTGATTAAGGATTTACCACTCAAGACATTCACTGGCCATGTTGAAAACATGGTTGTTATGGATAAGTCCTTATTAACAATGTAGTGTGATGTGTATATAGATACATTATATTTATAATACTCATATTGTATGACACTTGTGAATTCAATTATAGTTATTTCTATTTATCATGTCATTCAAATTATATGATATATATACATTATTGTTTAAGTGAGATGATAAAATGTGTCTTAGAAAGGACGATAAATACACATGTTACACTATTAATTAAGGTTGAATTGAATTAAATGATTTGATACATGAAAGAAACCAAGTTAATATAACTTGCAACTACCATGATTCAATCATTTTAATTTAATTAAGGATGGTGGCTAATAATTTTAACAGTATAATGTATTCTTATAGTTTTAATGTTGAATCTTAAAGTCATCAAATGAGTTAAGTGGAAGAATATTAGATTATTTCATGCAATTAAGGAATGATTTTTAATGAAAAGATGTCTAATGTGATGATTGTTAGACTTAACATATATTAAGAGTCATTGGGAATTATTCTTAAGTTATTAAAATTAATTCTCTCTCTTCTCTACACTTTGTAATACATGAAAGAAACCAAGTTAATATAACTTGCAACTACCATGATTCAATCATTTTAATTTAATTAAGGATGGTGGCTTATAATTTTAATGTATGATGCATTCTTACAGTTTTAATGTTGAATCTTAAAGTCATCAAATGAGTTAAGTGAAAGAATATTAGATTATTTCATGCAATTAAGGAATGATTTTTAATGAAAAGATAGCAAATGTGATAATTGTTAGACTTAACATATATTAAGAGTCATTGAAAATCATTTTTAAGTTATTAAAATTAATTCTCTCTCTTCTCATCACTTCATTAAGGGTAATTTTGACATTATATTAAAAAAATAATTTGAAAAAGGAGGTTACAAAAGTTAAGTTGGTTATTTAAGCAAAGAGTGATCTCTTTCCTTCTCTCTCATTCTCAAGGGTTTTTTATTGTTTTTTAAGCAAGAAGAAAAAACTTGATTTTTTTCATAAGAAAATCACGAGAACTTAAATAATTGTCAAAAATCAAATAAACAGGTTTCAACACCTTTACAAAAACCAATTAAAGGAAATAAGAAAAAGAATAATAACTTATTAATTTTTTAATTAAATTGTGGATCGGATATATTTTCTAAATATTTCATAAAAATTATAAAGTATAATAATAGTAAAAAATGTGTTATCTAAAATTCTTAAAACTGTAATTTTCTTGAAAAATAAACACTATAAACTTACATGAAATTATAAAATTTACTGACAAGAAGCTCACACTATAAGAGACCAACCATTTCCTTTAAATGCAACAACAATCATTTATTTTTCATATACCAAAAAATAGGCACACCAGTATGCAACCATTTGCCTCCAAGAAGTCTATAAATTTTTTGTGTATGCATACTATTATGCAGACCAACACAACTGACCATGTAACTGATCAATGAAACAAATAAAATCTTCATCTTTAAGGATAGAACATAAAGGAAATTATGAAGACAGAGTCAGTAATTAATCACTAAATTTAAAAGAGCTCTATGAAAAGAACAAATGGTTGCATAGACCATTTCCTTCCCATGTATTCTTTTTCGCAATAAAACCCAAATTTGTGGGAATTGTCAAACTATACCCCCACATATCCATGTCTTCATATGTAAGTTTTTAAAGATTGTTGGGATGCAACAATTTCACACAATTTTAAAGATTGTTGGGATGCAACATGAATTTATATACATACAATTATTTCTATTGATTGAAAGACTTAAATCATAAAGACTTAGACCCAAAACAGGTAATATCTTATCATATGAAAATATTTGTATGTGTGTGATAATCCCGATACAAAACAAAGGTTAATAAATATTCTGATCTTTTTAAATTTTAACATATAATTAAACAAGTGGGAATTAATTAATGGAATGGAAGCAAAATATATTATCGGTTCTAGTTAAGTTAGTTAAGCAGTGTGGCTGAATTGTTGCAATTACTTATTCAACCGATTAAAAAAAAAAAAAAAAGTGAAAAGATTGAAGAGGGTACCCTTGTTTGAAATGATAGCCAGACAAGCTGGCTGCTTGATGAAGAGCCATCTTCCATTTGTGGAGCTTGTCCATGTTATGCTCCAACCCCTCCTTCTTAGCTTTGAAATTGTTTTCATGATTGGTCAACGCTTCTCCGAAGCTACCTCTGTGGTGACGAAGGTCAGAAGGATCGATGTTATAAAAGAGAGGCAAAACCAACAAAGATTTTCTCTTAGTGCAGTGAAGGATGTAAGTGAGCTCGTTTAAGCAAAAAGAGGAAGAAGCGTAGTTGAGAGAGAGGACGATGATGAAAATTCTCGAGTGTTCGATGGCCTTCTCAAGTGCTGATGTGATCTCGTCCCCTTTTTGGAGTTGGTCGTCGTCGATGAATGTGTGAATTCCGTTGTCACGGAGGGCGTTGTAGAGATTTCCGGTGAAACCGTAACGGGTATCTTCTCCTCTGAAGCTCAGGAACACATCATATTCATAATCATAGATCAAGGAAGATGATGCCACAGCCATCAGAACTCAGAATAAGTGAACAAAGGAGTTTGTTAATTGTTAGTAATAGTATGATGTCATGATAATTTTGTGGACGAATATCTAAATGTAGAAGGAATTGATAACAGTGCTAGAAGACGGATATGTGGTTCTCATTAAGTCAACAAACGAGTAAAATAATAAAGACAATGTGCAAAAGAACTTACGATAGTGGGGTATACTTCTCTTGACTTTTTTTTTTTTAATATACCATTTTTTTAATTATTTAAATAACTTAAACTGATTTATATTTACGTAAATATACCGTTTTGAATTTTAGGTGAGAAATCGATTACTGGGTAACCGATTTTTCAAAGGAATTTTTAAAGAATTTTGAAAAATCTCTTTTAGAAATCGGTTACCCAGTAACCGATTTCTCAATGGGCCCATTTTTTATTTTTTTTCGTTTTGTGTGTTTTTTTTTTGAATTTTTTTCTCTAGATTTCTAATTTTCTTTTTTTCATATTTTAATTTTAAATTTTTATTTTTTTAAAATTTTTTAGTAATTTTAAATAAAATAATTAAGTTAAGTTTTTAGAATAAGAATAAATAATGAAATAATTATTAACTAAATAAATAATGAAATAAATATTAATTAAAAATTTTAAAAAAAGGACAAAATATTTATTTAAAATACTAGTAAACAAAATACAAGATTTGGAAGGTTTGATTATATTTTAAGCTTGGTGACTTGAATTCCCTTGACGATAAGGACATTTCTTCTTTGAGTGGCCTACATTTTTGTAGAGAGAACATCTTCTTGGTTGTCCTGGTTCAACCATATCCATTTCAGTGCGTATTCTAGATGACTTTGGACGACCTTTTTTATTTCTAATCTTTTCCGGATTTGGTATGATTTGTGGTTCTTCACAATCCGGCCAATAAGATTCATTGGGCAGTTCACCAAATAATTCGTTATACACATTTGAAACATATTGTAATGAGATTTATAATCGTGGTGAACATGCTTACATGCAGCAACAACATGGGAGCATGGCATGTGTAGCTTTTGGAATTTTCCACAGTCACACCAGTTATCATGTAGTCTAACCGTGAAAATTCCATTAGGTCGTGTTTCCCTTGGGTTAATGGTCTCTTGCACTAGAAAACGTGTACTGTGACGATCAAATTCGAGGACATGATGACTATTAGCCTTTGATTTTGCATCTCTCATGGCCCTATTCATTATTTCCATATAAACTTGGCCAGCCCTAAGTTTAGCATCGACTTACTTCCTCCTTTGGATGAATAAGGCATTACATCTCTTATAAGTCGACATGATGATTGCAGAAATTGGCAAATTTCTTGTTTTTTTAAGAATGGAGTTAATTGCCTCAGCCAAGTTGGTAGTCATGTGTCCCCATCGTCGGCCACCGTCCCATGCAAGAGTCCATTGTTCTTTTGGTATGGTGTTGAGCCATTCAATTACACCTTTGATTTTTGGTTCGCTCCTTAGCGTGATGTAGTAGTAATTGAATCTTGGCTCAGTCATCCCATAAGCTGTGAAATCAGATTAGGAAAAAAATGAACAATTTAGTAATGTTGAAATATGGTGAAACAAATTAAAGTAATTAATGATGCTAAGTACATACCCATATTGATGATTAATTTTTTTCGTTCTGTATTCTTGAAATGCCTCATGAAGTTTTGAGCTATATGGCAAATACAGAACACATGCACTGAATTCTCGAGTGTCCAACCACTGCCCTGTCTAGCGTAGGCATTTTTTATAGACTCGTGCCTATCTGAAATTAAGCAAAGGCCATCTTGAGGGAAAACATGTCTTTTGAGATAATGTAGAAAGAAAAACCATGCTTTTGCAATTTCACCCTCAACAATTGCAAAGGTATTTGGAAAGATTTTGCTGTTACCTTCTTAAGTCACGACCACAAGGAGAGTTCCTTTGTATTTGTCATACAAGAATGTGTCATCAACTTAAACAATGGGCTTGCAGTATTTGAACCCATCGATGCAAGATTTAAATGTCCAAAATACTCTATGGAATTGAACATAATGATGAATCATCTCGCCTTGTTGGTTGTATAGTGGCCTTGTTTGCTTCTCAACAACAAATCCATTAAGAAATCCACTCATGGCACCAAGCAACTTGGGTAAATCATTGTAAGATTGTTCCCAGTTACCATGTAAGTCTTCAATTTCCTTTTGATGTGTGCTATTATTGTTGGAATAGAAATGGATGGATCACTCTCCACCAAAGGAAGAATACTTTTGCTAATATATACATGGCCAAGGTTAACATGATCTTGTGTAATAATAGGTGATGAACAAGAATGTTCACCTGATAGCTTACGAAGCTCCCATTTTTTGCTTTTAGTAATAAAAGTCGCTCTGCACCTCCAATCACATGTACTATTAACACAGTGTGCAATAATTAATGTTGGTGACGATTTCTCCGCCCTGTAATACAAACCTTTTTTTATATGGTATGCATTTAGAACATGTTGGACTTCCTCCTTTGTGTTGAAATTCATGCCTTGAAATAGGCTGTCAGGAGAGTACTCGACGTCAACATGGTCAAGTGCATGTCTATACTCTGGGTCGGTGAAATCTGTTTGCAAATCAACATTATTCATGTGTGAAGGAAAACTGAATGTGCTTACATGCTGAGATTGTTGTACAAGACAATCTTGTTCATCTTGTTCATCGTCTTGTTGGAGTCTTGCATCATCTTCCCCCTCAGTGAAAGGACCAACTTGTTCTTCAGGGACTCCTTCCTATTGTTCTTCTTGTTGGACTCTAGATGTAAGGAGGTTGGTAAAGGATCCATGTGTATGAAAATCGTCTAATGATGGTTGGTTTTCATGATAAACAGGTTGGTTTTCATGGGAAGAAGGTTCGTTGTGATAGAAGAAGGTTGGTTGTGATAGGAAGAAGGTTGGGTTTCATAGAAAGAAGGTTGGTTTTCATAGGAAAAAGGTTGGTTGTGATAGGAAGAAGGAGGTTGGTTTTGATAGATAGAAGGTTGGTTTTCATAGGTAGAAGGTTGGTTTTCTTCTTCAGGAATAATTGGTGTGAGATCTGCATATAGTTGAGCAGAAGTAAGATGTTTAAAGGAACAAACCATTTGAATCATACCATGAACGTCTTCATCGTCAGTAAGCTTGACAGCCCGGAAATGAAGCATTCCTTCGCCTAGCACTTGTGGATATCGAAAGTAAAGTTGATCAATTGAATGTGGTTGTGGTAAGCTTAGTCTTCTTTGGATCTTAGCTTTCAACGCATCAAGTGTGATACGTGAACTAATTGATAAAAATATTGGGTCCAAGGATACAAAAGTATCTCCTTGGTTTGTTTGAGTGATTCCACCATTGAAAAAGAGTAACACACGAAAAGAAGAGGAAGACATTGTTGTAGACAAAGACTAACACACAGAAACAAGAAAACTTAGCTCAATTGCACTTTGCATTTGAACCCAACATTGGTATCATTTAAATAGAAGGTGGAGATAGGCGTCAATCAATTACACTCAACAACCCTAAACATTGCATCAATGACACACTGCATCAATGACATAGTCATTAATAACACACTGCATCAATGACACTCTGCACAAAGTCATTGATTTTTCTAACGCTCTGGGACAAAGCATTCATGACTCTGCATAAAGCATTGATTTTTTCTGACACTCTGGGACAAAGCATTGATGACACTGCATCAATGATACTCTGCACAAAGTCATTGATTTTTCTGACACTCTAGGACAAAGCATTGATGACTCTGCACAAAGTATTGATTTTTCTGAAGCTCTAGTACAAAGCATTGATGCTCTGTACAAAGCATTAATTTTTCTGACGCTCTAGGACAAAGCATTGATGACTCTGCACAAAGCATTGATTTTTATAACGCTCTGGTACAAAGCATTGATGACTCTGCACAAAGCATTGATTTATGTGTCACTCTGGGCCAAAGCATTGATGACACTGCATCAATGACACTCTGCACAAAGTCATTAATTTTTCTGACGCTCTGGGACAAAGCATTGATGACTCTGCACAAAGCATTAATTTTTCTGACGCTCTGGTACAAAGGAATTAATGACACTGCATAAACCATTGATTTTTTCCACTATATATACACTACATACGATCTAACCCTAAACACACAACAAAAGATCAATTCTCTTCAGCTATTGCACTATTGAATTTCGTTGCTATTATTTTTCAAGAATGTCTTCTTCATCTTCAACTATGTTGTGGAAACAACACCTCCATAGGTCAAATGAAACTCATCTTATGGTAAGTTAATATATATTGCATAATATTTACAACTAATATTATTCATTACTAACATTCCAATTCTACCATTTTCGCAGACAACAACTGATCAAGTGATTCAATCTTACTATAATTCCATGCCTACACCTGACCCAAGAATTGAGCATTTGTTGGAGATTGTTGGCTTTGGCGAGGTTGCGAAAATAAGACATTTTAAAATTGATGATTGTTTGATAACGTCTTTGGTGGAGAGGTGGAGACTTGAGACATATACTTTTCACCTCCCAGTTGGTGAGTGCACGATCACTTTAGAAGATATGGTACTACAATTGGGTTTAAGGATCGACGAAAAACCAGTCATAGGGCCGACTTTGTTTGACTGGGATGAATTGTGTTACGAGTTGTTAGGTTTCGTACCTTCGAAAGGGGAAGCTCTAGTTGGCTCAAGCATAAAACTAAAATGGTTAAGAGACCATACAATTGCACTACCAGATGAACCCACTGAACAACAATTGCTCCAACATTGATGAGCATATATCTCAGGATTGATCGGTGGTGTCATTATGCCAGACAAGTCAGGTAACAGAATTCACTTAATGTATTTACCACTATTGGTTGACTTGGAACGTGCAGGACTATATAGTTGGGGTTCTGCTTGTTTGGCACATTTGTACAGAGAAATGTGTAGGGCAATCTATCAATCGTCAAAGAAAATGGGTGGATGTTATTTGCTTCTACAGTCTTGGGCTTGGTATCGCATGTCCTTCATCCAACCAAGACTCCAACGGGATATTACATTTCTGCTAGCATCGAGGTATGGATTAATTTTTATACCACTTTAATACATCGAACTACTAAAATATTTTACCTAAAATTTTATCAATGTACAAATGTTTTAGGTGGTCAGGAAGAGGGCTAAGATTTTCAGGCACGCCCCATGGAGACTTACTTGGCTATAGATTAAGATATGACAACATGAACCATAACGAGGTAATACAATGTAAACTTCTCTCAAACATACTCTCTTATACTCAATTGATTCATACCTTAAACCTTTTTCTTTTTCAGCTTCTATGGATGCCATATAGGGAATTTCAATCCTCACTGCCAACACGTGCTTATAAGGATTCTAGAATATGGACTGCTTGTACTGCTTTAACTTCATTTGTAATTGTAGTCTGGCATCAAACTGATAGAGTCCAATTGCAATTTGGCTTATGGCAACCAATCCCCAATGAAGCTCATAATCTTGATAAAATGCACGAAATAGACATGAGAGGACATAGCGACACCAACTAGGCTGAACAACATGCAGACTGGATTTCCATTTGGAAAGACAGACGCAAACATGTTCTTTTTAGGGAACCACTTCAGGGGCCTCTCCAACACACTCCTGAGTATTTACAATGGTTTCTTGCTAATTCTAAATTATTTCTTTGTAGCCAGTATTCTTCATCTCATGCATCCACTTCTAGTACGCAACTCCCAACAACAACTGCAACAACATTCCCAATGGCTGGAGATAATCACCCACCTTATAGTGTGGAACAACATCCTCAGTCTTATCCATCATTTCATACGCACCATGAACAATTCATGTACACACCACCATCAACAACAACTCCAACAGGGGACTTCATGAGCAATCTTTTTGGCGTCGACGTACACACGCCACAAAGTGCATATAATTACATGCAAAGCATGAATTTCCCTTCATTTTCGTCTTATCACTCTGAGGTCGGTGGAAGTGGTTCGTCAAATCCAGTCACCGATACTGTTAATATACAACATGACGAGGACCAGGTTGAACCACAACAACCACGCATTGGTCGTCGAAACCCAACAAGGAACCGACAACCTCCGAGGTGTGGAACGGGTGGGCATAGACATCATTAAAGTTGGATTGTAATTTCCTGGATTGTAATTCTGTAGTTGTTCTTTTTTATTCGATCTCCTATTTTATTGTTGTATTTTGTTTTTATTTCAAGTTGTTCATCTCAATTAATGTTGTTTTTATCTAAAGTTGTGATTTATCATAATATTTTCATTTTTAAAAATTATATTTAAAATTAATTTTATTCAATTTTATTCTTTAAAATTTATTTTAAATACATTTTTATAATCTAAAATAAAAACAAAAACTAAATAAATTTTTTAAATTTTCATTATAAATTTTTTTTAAATCTAAATATTATAAACTGAAAAAAAAAATAACAAATCTGGAGAAAAAAATTCAAAAATAAAAAAAAAACAAAAAACAAAAAACACAAAAATGGAAAAAAAAAAAAAAATGGGCCCATTGAGAAATCGGTTATTGGATAACCGATTTCTCAAAGGGATTTTTCAAAAATTTTCAAAAATTCCTTTGGAAAATTGGTTACCCAGTAACCGATTTCTCACCTAAAATTCAAAACGGTATATTTACGTAAATATAAATCAGTTTAGGTTATTTAAATAATTAAAAAAAATGGTATATTAAAAAAAAATTCTACTTCTCTCTGAGAATACTTCCAAATGAAAAAAAAATGCAAATAAAAGTTCTTTTATAATCTCCATTCTCCAAGTAACTCTTGTAGGACTGGTAGGGAATTAATACAGCACTGAAGAGGGGTATTTGTTTTGTATTAATTTTCAATAGGTAACTTGTTTAGTGAATTGCTCCGAAAAGAAAAATATATTTGGCAGTGTGTATGATATGCTGCTCTGTGAATTATTTGGAAAAACAGAAGAAAAAAAAAATGATTTTCAAGCCCCAGCGATGACGCAAAAAAAGAATGTCACTGAATTGGTGGACAGTGTAAAGTTTCTCATGTGACACTAGGTATATAGATTATCTTTGTTTAGTTAATAAGTCAATTATGTCTTGTGTTGGATTACATATGTAGCGTGATGGTTATGTAGGAAGGGAGGAGTTAAATTTGGATTTCCACGGTTACTTTTGTTGCTATATGCTACACTGTTGTGAAACATGATCATGGTTTTATGGAAAGGGAGTCTGCTATTAAGTGCTTAAAAGATAAGCTTATTCTTTATGCTTACTCACGTATACCAAACACTGTATGTGCTTGTTGCTGATTTTGGCAATCTTTAGTCTTTTCAAAAGAAAAAACATAATATTAGCAAATATTAAAAATGTATTAGCTGTTTTATTCAATTTACTCGTGTACAGTATAACTTTATAAGTCTATTGACATCTCGACGAAGTATACATATATTAGCCATTTAACACTATAGAAAGGATTTAACATGTACAGATAAATTTTCCTTTATCCAACGAATTTTTCCAACGAGGCCTGAAACAAAAACCAAAACGTGGCATCCAAACCAAAACCAAAAATGTGGAAACTAACAGCAAATAAGTGGATCACATTAATTAATCATAGATGTCATTTTAGTATTTTACAATACATCATACTGTTTTGTGATCGCTAAACACTTTGGTAACAAAGCAAGGAGGCAGGTGCCATGCCATGCCCATCATTCACATGATCCTTAAAATGAGCCTGGCACGTGTGTCACCTCTATACTAAGCCAAATTTGATTCCTTCACTTCTTAACACATGCTTAATGTAAATAGTGTATATACAGCAGCTACTCAAAGTACGTACTTTACTACTTATGCTCTTTAGAGCTTTTTTTTTTTTTTTTTCCATTTTGCATGGAAACATATATATCATTTAGGTGCACACCACTTATAAGCATGCATGTATATATAATTTTTATGAACTACTCACCGATCTTATACATATTTGCAAGTAGCATGCCTACATATATACTGTACAATATGCAGGAACTTTTAGTACTTAATTCTGCAGTGTGGCCCCATCAACGTCCACTGATCCAGAACCTGAAGCGGTTATGTCGCCATCTGATTGTGACCCTGAGAAACTGATAAAGGGAAAGGTAGTAGCAATAGCCAATGGTGCTGTGCTATAGACTTGATTCATTGACCACTCACAGGATCCCATTTGTGCAGTATCGTTTGCTACATAGCTGCCAGATTTGTCACTGTAATATTGATCTTGATCATATGTGACAACAGATGCTGCAGGTTGATTGTTTGGAAATTGCTCCACAGTTTGCTCACCTATCGAATTATTTTCACATCAACGTCAGTTACTATGGTTGAATCCAAATAATGATCACTTTAGTGTTATTAGAATGGAATTAGTTATCTGTCATCAAATACAGAATTTGAAGTTTTGACAATATTAAATAAAATGGAACTATATGAAGTTAGTTTATTATTAAAATCAACTTGTTTCTATTAACATAAATAATTTGGCATAGACACGCAAAAGACCGTGACTAATGGTATCAGAGATGTAGTTTTTATAATCAGTAGTTGGTCTATATAAAGGTTATCATAATCATAATGAATAGATATATACTTTCTAAATCAATCAAATAATATTTTCCTTGAAAAAATGGAAGATATATATATACCTTGGGTTAGCAAAGCAATGTTATCATTCAGAACTCCATCAATTTCCTCCAAGTTATGCCATCTAGCATATGCTTCTCTCACCAATTTGTCTATATAGGTCTGCAAATGTAAATAATAACATCCACTAATTAGAGGAAAAAGTTCTAAGATAAGGCTGTAATATCCATAAATTAAGAGACAAATTGAGTAATAGAAGATTCATTGTACCTTATTCATATGACTCATTGGATCTCTATTGAAAAATGTCTGTCCATTGATATCTGCTCTAAGTAATTTGCATACTGGATCCAGAAAAATAGTAAATTGTGATCCACGGTAAATGTACATCTTGCTCCCCATGTCACAAGTCATTGCATGCTTGATAGTGACTTCCCACATTTTATCTGACATCCCCATGCCTAATATCTGGTTGGTTGCGGAAACATTCAACAGAAATAATTAACTTCGTATAAATAAAATTTTAAACATTTTGTGACTAATAAAAAAATATATGATGTTAAGATGGATACATTTCTTAGCTTAGGAGTGTTAACAACTGCTAGTTTGAGAAAGTCTTGGACTGTATTGATCCCCGCTTTTGACAATTTTCTGTGGAAAGCTCCCTCTTTACCAATCTTCTCTAGACGCCACACATCGTCATGGAGCATTGGAGGGTGGTGTTTTTTGTACACTTCGAATGCATAAAAACAAAATTAGTAAGATATAAAATACTAAAAATATTTAGTACATAATTAATATGAATGATAGATTCCTATCAGTACAGGCAAAAATGTCGGATGAAACTATATATGTGAAAATGAACTCTTCATTAAATTATTAATGTCATATTATTCTCACTAGCTAACAAATTGCCAAATATTTATTACTAGGCACGTGCTTGACCTGGTTTCTCTTAAAGTTGAAACCATTGACTTGAGATTGATCCCCAACTAGAAAATTGCCAAAAAAAAAAAAAGAGTAGAAATTGATATCGATGTAGATCGGTATAATATATAATAGAAAATAAAAGTAATTAAATCCTGTATACGTCACAATTATATATTTTGGCATTAAATATGCTGGGATTAGCCAAGTGGGTTTTAATTTCTTTATTTCACACCAATGGTTGACTTGGTGAGACCATATATCTGGCTACTATTATTTTGCATGTTGGACAGGGCTCTTAGCTGTGAGTTTGACCAACGACACTATTCGGTTGTAATAATCTAAACTTTAAATGTTTCGATTACAACCAATGTTTCAATTAGTTACTATTATAAAGTGTGACATTAATAAATGTGAACCACAATCAACTTAATTTTGAACTCTTTATACGTTAGAAAATAGTTTATATACTAATATTTGAATATGTTGCTACAAATTTTATATTTCCTTTATCTTTTGTATATAAAAAAAAATACATGTATATTATATTGGGTAGCGATCCATATACAAAAAGTGATTTGATGATCAGTTTTGATTTGCAACCATGTACAGCCTAACTCCATAGATTAATAAGTTATCATTAAATTTTGTAATGTTATTTTTGGCTATATGATAAGTTTTTGTTTGTTTTGATAATATGGTATCTGTCAAAGTCAGTTATATTTGTCATTTATTTTTGGGCACATCTAAGAAAACTAAAATATCTTGTTATCAAATGGTTCTTCTAATGAGGACAGGAAGTGACTGAATCAAGAGACTTTTCAAGAGAAATGGACTTTTCTTTCTTAAAAGTAGTTACCAACAACCTATAATACTTGCTGACCAATTATAATTTGACACAACACCAACTAATTAGCAGTAGTATTTATTATAATTGGCGGTAGTAGTTATTAACAATTAGCAAATGCGAATAAATTAAAGTGAAACAACTGTCTTATCAAGCACATTAGTAGGTTGAATATAATTAGTGTTATAATTTGATTTAACCTTTAAAAAAAATCTTATAATGTAATACTAATTAATATTGTCGAAACTAGGACATATTATTCTTTTTGAAAATGGTGAAATGACTTACTATGTTTGTAAATCCTTCACAGTAGGTGAGTTGAAGCACCCTTGTACTATCACCGATTAAAACAATTGACTCATAAAAAATTTAATATATATATATATATATATATATATATATATATCAAAAACAATTGCTTATGTTGTATAAAAAAAATTCATCTAAAGAAAAAATTATACAATGTTAATAGATTAGACTATTAAAAATTATTCTTTTCCTAAATATAATGATGTCTCATACTTTTATGAGAATGTAAAG